ACTGCATGTACGCGTTGCGTTTGTATTTTGGGCCTTCATCCTCATAAAGTTTAAATAATCATACAAATCTCCACGTAGTTCAAATCTATTAAATTCTATTCGCATGAGTTTCTTGAGTCAAGCATAAAAATTTACACATAAATATTTATAAATAATGTGAAAATTTAACGCCCAGGCTCCTCTCTCTCTCTCTCTCTCTCTCTCTCTCTCTCTCTCTATCTATCTATCTCATCTATCTCTCTCTCTCTCTCTCTCTCTCTCTCTCTATCTCTCTCTCTCTCTCTCTCTCTCTCTATCTATCTATCTATCTCTCTCTCTCTCTCTCTCTCTATCTATCTCTCTCTCTCTCTCTCTCTCTCTCTCTCTCTCTCTCTCTCTCTATCTATCTATCTATCTATCTCTCTCTCTCTCTCTCTCTCTCTCTCTCTCTCTCACACACACAAACACGCCCATATGTATGCATACATGTATTTATTTTTCTGTGGATATGTTCGACAATAGGCTTCTGCCAAATTTGCTGTTTGTGAAACTACGCATGCGCACTGAGGGTGATTTCTTTAATGGCAACGTTTCGCTTGATTTATGTTATTCAGGCTGAGGAAGAAACATAAAAATGGCGTCTGATTTCAAGTTGAACAATTTTTCGCTTAAATATAAGATGCTTTTTTTTTTATTGATCAGTCCTTTGCTGATTTGTTGCCGTTCAAAAAAAGGATGGACACACATGTGCGTACAAACAACCAAGCACAGGAGACGGACACATATAGACACTGATGAATAGGGGAAATAACGAGCAGGAATCACAGATAAATAGCAACAAAGTTAACATAATTTGGATTTTACAAGTATATGAACGTACCAGTGTTCATATGTAGTATGGCTATGCCGAAATAATTTACTAACGGCAAATGACGACATTCAATCGTTTGTCAAATAGCCATTTTGTATGAATGGTGTACTGATAGGATGGCATTATTGCAGCGAGCGTAATTCTCACTGTGAAACTAAAATGTGTATCATTTGGCCATACACTAAGATAGATAGATAGATAGATAGATAGATAGATAGATAGATATGAACAGACTGAGATAGATATGAATAGACTGAGATAGATAGATAGATAGATAGATAGATAGATAGATAGATAGATATGAACAGACTGAGATAGATATGAATAGACTGAGATAGATAGATAGATAGATAGATAGATAGATAGATAGAAAGAAACAGACTGAGATAGATAGATAGATAGATAGATAGATAGATAGATAGATAGATAGATATGAACAAACAAAATGATAGATAGTGTCATGTGTCCTGACCTATAACTACAGAATGAACTCTTCCTAACACTATGTATACTACGCCTCTCAAGAGAGAGGGTCGAATCGAGCCGAGCCGGTAGTAGTTCACTCCAAACCAGACTGACAGTCATACTCACACCTTCCACATCTTGTATTATTATTTCGTGTAATATACCTTCGTTATTTCTACTTTTGTATTCGTGTTGTTCTTCCTTGGTCCAAACCTGGACAATAATATAGATAGATAGATAGATAGATAGATAGATATGAACAGACTGAGATAGATAGGTAGATAGATAGATATGAACAGACTGAGATAGATAGATAGATAGATAGATAGATAGATAGATAGATATAAAAAGAATGCGATAGATATGAACAAATACATAGATAGATAGATAGATAGATAGATAGATAGATAGAAACAGACTGAGATAGATAGATAGATAGATAGATAGATAGATAGATAGATAGATAGATATGAATAAACAAAATTATAGATAGTGTCATGGGTCCTTACCTATAACTACAGAAGGAACTCTTCCTAACCCTATGTATACTACGCTTCTCAAGAGAGAACGTCGATTCGAGTCGAGCCAGTAGTAGTTCACTCCAAACAAGACTGACAGTCATACTAACACCTTCCACGTCTTGTAGTATTATTTCCTGTAATATACCTTCGTTAATTCTACTTTTGTATTCGTGTTGTTCTTCCTTGGTCCAAACCTGGACCATAACATAGATAGATAGATAGATAGATAGATAGATAGATATGAACAGACTGAGATAGATAGATAGATAGATAGATAGATAGATATAAAAAGAATGAGATAGTTATGAACAAATACATAGATAGATAGATAGATAGATAGATAGATAGATAGATAGATGGAAAAAGAAGCAAAAGAAAAAAAAGCAATAAATACATGTAAAAACGTTAATTCTAATGTTAAATATATGAAATGCTTTAAGAAAATGAAAAATTGAAAAAGAAACCTGATGAAGGAATGGACAAGAAAAAGAAAAGTAAAGAACATAAAATAAATAAAGAATTCGATTAGAACGGAAATGAGAAATAAACAAATGAGAGGCGGGAAAAAAAAATGAATCAAAGAAAAAGAATGAAGCAGAAGAGAAGAGATTTAGAAACGAAAGAAAGAAAGAAAGAAAGAAAGAAAGAAAGAATCCCTGACAGATAAGTAGATGGTAATGAAGAAAAAAGATGCGAATAGACAAATTGATAAAAAGAGGGATAGAAAACCTCTGTAAAAGAAAGAATGACAAAAAGAAAGAAAGACAGGTAGATTGATATAAAGAGAAAAATGCGAATAGATAGATAGATAGATAGATAGATAGATAGATAGATAGATAGTCAACAGAATGAGATAGATAGATAGATAGATAGATAGTGACCATAATGAGATAGATAGATAGATAGATAGATAGATAGATAGATAGATAGTCAACAGAATGAGATAGATAGATAGATAGATAGATAGTGACCATAATGAGATAGATAGATAGATAGATAGATAGATAGTCAACAGAATGAGATAGATAGATAGAGAGATAGATAGATAGATAGATAGATAGATAGATAGATAGATAGATAGATAGTGACCATAATGAGATAGATAGATAGATAGATAGATAGATAGATAGATAGTCAACAGAATGAGATAGATAGATAGATAGATAGATAGATAGATAGTGACCATAATGAGATAGATAGATAGATAGATAGATAGATAGATAGATAGTCAATAGAATGAGATAGATAGATTGATAGATAGATAGTGACCATAATGAGATAGATAGATAGATAGATAGATAGATAGATAGTCAACAGAATGAGATAGATAGATAGATAGATAGATAGATAGATAGATAGTGACCATAATGAGATAGATAGATAGATAGATAGATAGATAGTCAACAGAATGAGATAGATAGATAGATAGATAGTGACCATAATGAGATAGATAGATAGATAGATAGATAGATAGTCAACAGAATGAGATAGATAGATAGATAGATAGATAGATAGATAGATAGTGACCATAATGAGATAGATAAATAGATAGATAGATAGATAGATAGTCAACAGAATGAGATAGATAGATAGATAGATAGATAGTGACCATAATGAGATAGATAGATAGATAGATAATTAGCAGAATGAGATAGACAGATAATGGGCAGAATGAGATAGATAGATAGATAGATAGATAATGAGCTGAATTAGATAGATAGATAGATAGATAGATAGATAATGAGCAGAATAAAATAGATAAAAATAGAATTTTTTTATATCAAATCTTTTGTGTTACTGTCTTCTATTATAATGTCGTTTTCACTAATTTTAATATCCACCCAACTTCCGCTAACCCGCCATTTTTTTTATTATGACTGCCTTCAGTCTTACCAATGCAATCTTTCTGTCATTATAGAGATTTCCCAAGTCATTGTTCGATATTTTCGCCTTCTCTGATCATTTTTCCCCTTTTTTTTTCTTCCTCTCCTATCTTTCTTCTTGACGCATTTCCCGCTCATCTCCACACAGTTGAAGTAACACATAAGGGACACGCCGCGCACTTTCCAGTGTCAGCCGTGCGAGAACGTCCCCTAAAAAGCGACAAAAGGCATATCAGGAATTCATGACGTCCATTAGAAATCAATGGAGCGTGATGATCGGACCTATCCAACCGGAAGACAGTTTATCGCCATCTTGAGCGTGGGCAATGACTAAAAAGGCCAAGTCTCCACGGATGCAAGATATTTTTGTTCTGATATTATTATTATTATTATTATTATTATTTCTTTTTTTTTTCTTTTCTTTTCTTTTTTTTTTTTTTGGCTTAAATTTTACTGTTTTTTGGGGTCTTTTTCTCTGCCTTCGTTTTTGTTTTTTTCCTTCTTCCAGTCGCGTTCATATTAATCTATTCTGTCCGATGTTGCCACTTTTATATCGGTTTTTATATTAGGCATAACTGTGTTTCTTCTTCTTCTTCTTCTTCTTCTTCTTCTTCTTCTTCTTTCTGTTGTTCTTTCTTTCTTTCTTTCTTTCTTTCTTTCCTTCTTTCTTTTCTAAATCTCTTCTATTTCATTCTTTCTCTTTGATTCATTTTTTATTTTCTTTTTCTTTCCGTTTCTCGTTTGTTTCTTTCTCATTTCCGTTCTAATCGAATTCTTTCCTTATTTTATGTTCTTTACTTTTCGTTTTCTTGTCCATTCCTTCATCAGGTTTCTTTTTCAATTTTTAATTTTCTTAAAACATTTCATATATTTAACATTAGAATTAACGTTTTTTGATGTATTCATTGCTTTTTTTCATTCGTCCTTTTTTCATTCTTTTGTACGATTATTTTGTTCGCTTATTTTCCTATTATTATTGCTTTATCTTTTCTTTCTTAAATTCATTCGTTTCGTTTCTTCCTTCCGTTTTTTCGTTCGTTTCTTTCTGGTCTCTTTTACTTCGTTCCTTTATTCCTCAATTTTATATATTCCATATATTTTCACTTTATTCTTTCTGTCGTTCTTTCTCTCTTTCTTTCTTTCGTTCGTTTAAGTGTTCTTTCTTTCTTTCTTTATTTCTTTATTCCTTTATTTCTTTATTTATTTCGTTTGTTCTGTCTTTCTTTTTCTTTCTTTCTTTCCGTTCTCTTTACGTTTTTTTTCTTTCTCCTCATTCATTTCATGTTTCTTTCCGTTTTAATTACGACTTGTCTTTCTTTCTTTTTTTCTTTTGTTCTTTCTTTCTTTTGTTCTTTCTTTCTTTCTATCTTCTCTTTCTTTCGTTCGTTTGGGTGTTCTTTCTTTCTTTCTTTCTTTCTTTCTTTCTTTCTTTCACCTTACGGTTTTTCTTTCTTACAATGGTTCTTTCCTTCTTTTTTTCTGTCATCATCATCATCATCATCATCATCATCATCATCATCATCATCATCATCTTCTTCACCTTTTTATTCTTTCTGCTTCTGTTTTGTTTCTTTTCTCATTTTCCTTCTCGTCGGAATATTTCCTTCGATTATTTTTTCTCCCTCTTCCTTTCTTTCTGTCATTCTATTTTCTTTCTTTCTTTCTTTCTTTCTTTCTTCTCTTTCTTTCGTTCGTTTGGGTGTTCTTTCTTTCTTTCTTTCTTTCTTTCTTTCTTTCTTTCTTTCTTTCTTTCACCTTACGGTTTTTCTTTCTTACAATGGTTCTTTCCTTCTTTTTTTTCTGTCATCATCATCATCATCATCATCATCATCATCATCATCATCTTCTTCACCTTTTTATTCTTTCTGCTTCTGTTTTGTTTCTTTTCTCATTTTCCTTCTCGTCGGAATATTTCCTTCGATTATTTTTTTCTCCCTCTTCCTTTCTTTCTGTCATTCTATTTTCTTTTTTTTCTTTCTTTTCCTACTTTCTTTCTTCTCTTTCTTTCGTTCGTTTGGGTGTTCTTTCTTTCTTTCTTTCTTTCTTTCTTTCTTTCTTTCTTTCTTTCACCTTACGGTTTTTCTTTCTTACAATGGTTCTTTCCTTCTTTTTTTCTGTCGTCATCATCATCATCATCATCATCATCATCATCATCATCATCATCTTCTTCACCTTTTTATTCTTTCTGCTTCTGTTTTGTTTCTTTTCTCATTTTCCTTCTCGTCGGAATATTTCCTTCGATTATTTTTTCTCCCTCTTCCTTTCTTTCTGTCATTCTATTTTCTTTCTTTCTTTCTTTCCTACTTTCTTTCTTCTCTTTCTTTCGTTCGTTTGGGTGTTCTTTCTTTCTTTCTTTCTTTCTTTCTTTCTTTCTTTCTTTCTTTCTTTCTTTCACCTTACGGTTTTTCTTTCTTACAATGGTTCTTTCCTTCTTTTTTTCTGTCATCATCATCATCATCATCATCATCATCATCATCATCATCATCATCATCTTCTTCACCTTTTTATTCTTTCTGCTTCTGTTTTGTTTCTTTTCTCATTTTCCTTCTCGTCGGAATATTTCCTTCGATTATTTTTTCTCCCTCTTCCTTTCTTTCTGTCATTCTATTTTCTTTCTTTCTTTCTTTCTTTCTTTCTTTCTTTCTTTCCTACTTTCCTTCTTTTTTTTTTTTCCCCTCCTTCATTTCTTTGTCCGCATTGTGATGACATTCTTCCTGTTTATTTTATTTTATTTATCTCTCATCTTTCTTATCTTTTCACCTTCGTTCATCCTCGCTACATTCACCCTTCACCGAACACATACCCTCTCCCCTCTAGTCTTCCTCTTTCTTCTTTTCCTCTGCGTCTAAATCTATCAAGTCGCCTATCTACCTTATTTACTGGCAAATATCGTTTCATCCCTGTAAGATTTCGATACACTCTCTCTCCATGCTGCCTCCACCATTTTAAGACATTTTCCCTCCAGTCTGATGATTCTATCTTTGTTGTCAATCTTGTTTAATTTTATTTATTTATTCCCTGACACTAATACGGAAATCTCACGAATGTGGTGTTGATATAGATTATCCCAGACTTTATTCATGAAGTCATTGTTTTCACAACAAAATTGGTACCAAGTAATCACTGTTGTTAAAATTCTCAGGTTTATCTATATTCATATATTGATTATATTGTGTAAGCTTCAGCTAATAATATTTTATTTAACCATATCACCACAAGCGAGGCAAACAAAATTATCTTATGCGAGTGCTATATTTTCCAAGCCTTCTTTCCTCATTTGATGTCCTAAGTATTACAGTGGTTTCTTTCTGCGGTTGCAACATATGCTCTTCCGTATCTATTGTCTTCAAAACTTTCTCGTTTCTCGCATAAAGTGTCCATGTATTTTTCACAAGTAAGGCAATAAAGCCACTAATACACGCAAGGGGTTACTGAGTGTTAGAGAACATGAGGAAAAACAATATTAATGAGAGTGAACAATAACGTAGACTGTAGATAACGATTCACATTGCATTTAAATTGTGAACATCAAATATGAATTGGAAAAAAATTCGCCAGACAGTTCCACAAGCAATATGTGCGATATATATATAAAGACATTTTTATGTTTATACATTCTTTTTATAGAAACAAATATTTAAGTAAATATTTACCGGTCTGAATGTCCGGGAAATTTTCATAGAAAATATATATCCTCCGACAGGAATCGAACCTGTATCCTCTACGGAATCGTCATATAGTCTGGCGTGTTTTTTACTGACTGAGCCACAGAGGGGCGTTACGGTTAGTAAGGTTACTGTTTTTAAACTACAATTCTCCAAAGATTTTCTGTAGGAACAGACGAAAGCTTGTAAAAACTAAAAAAGACCTTATGAAACTGGAATTTATAAACAGGGATCATAACATTCATATACAGGTTCGAGGTTAGTGTATCTTATTGAAATTGTTTGCGAAGATGTATTCTCGCCATTTAAATGAATTAACCTCTATATTTGTTTTTTGTATGAATGATTCATGTAATTATAAATTAAACTGCACCTATAATCGAAATTAAAATAACTGATCCAACGTGCAACTTTCGGATAATAAGTGTGACATTTCTGTAATTATTGAATAATATAGTTCATGCCACATTGGCGGAAAACCTATCAGTACAAAAGAATTCTCTTATTACTATATTTGTACAAAAACGCACAACCTTAAAATTTAAAATTCAAACTGCACGTTCCAAAACAATAACACATTTCTCATAGCATTTTTTCGGATTACATCTCTATTTTCGTTGTCCTCTTATTACTGAGAAGTAAAAAACAAGAACCAATCTATTTCTATACCTGAAGATGTCTGTAGGAACAGACGAAAGCTTGTAAAAACTAAAAACGATCTTATGAAACTGGAATTTATAAACAGGGATCATATTATTCATATACAGGTTCGGGTTTGCCACTGGATACGAGAATAAGTAAAAAATGATTCTCAATGTCACCATAGAATCTTTAGGTTTGTAACCCTGCGTTCTGCTCATGTTCTTACGAATTACATCAGTAAAAACATCATTACCCCCCCCCCAATAAATATAATATTTTCATGGCAACTGCTCTGACGAGCTATTTTCACTGTTACCCAAACTGTATAAATTTAAGCGTGTTGTTAGTTTGGCATCTCGGTTCCAATCTTTCACTGTCGAAACGGTTAAATGTAGCCGTCTCTTCTACTCCGAAAGCTTATCTCGCACTTCTCCACAGTGGAACTTCCTCCCTCTTACGTGCTTCCCTGAAAGCTATAATCTTTAAATATTAAAGTTTAATGCCTTGATCTTGATTGTCCTTTCATCAAGCACGGGTCTTACTCTTACTCTCACTCTATGTAACCCCTTGCGCGATAGTAGCAGTCCCGCTTTGCTTGGGGTGACATGCTTAAAATTATTCTGACAATCTAAAGAAAATACATTCTTGTTTCAAGTAGTCTCCAAAGGGCTGATAGACCGTAAAAAATCAAACAATGTAAACTTTAAAGCATTACTTAACACCAATATTATGTAAACATTTACTTTCATAAATGTAAACGTTTTGATGTTATTTAGGTGCTATAAATGATGTAAGCAACATGCATAATATATGTGATATAGGCAATGGTGTGATGTAAGTTATATGTTCATTGTGACTGATATCAGTGAGGTATGGGATATGGACTATTTTTATAATGTGTTGAAAATGATGTGCGAGACACGCGCAACACTTGCGCAATGTTCTCTACTCTCTCTCTCTCTCTCTCTCTCTCTCTCTCTCTCTCTCTAAAAAAAAAATTGAGCAATAAAAAATATGTATATACCCTAACAGGTGCCACAAAAGTATTCAGAAGAATTTCTACGTGGGTAGACAGGAAAGTTGTTTTCCTATTTCCTCATTGGTTGAAAATGATATATTCTTTCTTCTGATTGGCTAATAAAAAAAAGAATTCTCCAATAGCGAGAAAAGATAGCTCACACAATTCATTATCTTTTCTTCTATTTTGACAGATAATTTTGCTCGAACAAAAGTTAATAGCTCTTGGCGCCCGTGACGCCATATGGAGAAAAAAACTTAAAAATTAAATACGCTGGAAGTGCGAATGATTAAGATATCCTCTCTCATCATGGGAGTTAAACAATAGTTTGGCGGCATATACCCAAAATATTGAAAGGTACATCAAGAAATACATATTGATAAAACTGACAGAAACAGAAATCTAAAGTACAAGCCATCTTCAAATAGTACGATTTATAAAAAATAAAAGGATAATGTGTTTCTGGATCAGGTAAACAACTACAACAATTGTAAACATAGCGAAGGCCTAATCAATTAAAAGTGACCTTAACAATCTCTCTAATATATATATATATATATATATATATATATATATATATATATGTATATATAAATAAAAAGAAAGAACAGTAAGATATATAATCCGCTGTTAAAATTCGATTGAGGATGAAATGGAACTAATGTCTTTAATTTAATTACAAAATTAAATTCGAAGATTTCAGCTTCCAATTTTGAAACATGGTTAAAATTGTGTAGCGAAAAAAAACTATATTTTAAATCAATTAATATATATATATATATATATATATGTATATATATATATATATATATATATTAACTGATTTAAAATATGGTTCGTTCGCTACACAGGAAGTACCAAGTTTCAAAACCCGAAGCGAAAAACTTCAAATTTAATTATATAATAAATAATTAATATAATTTAACTATATAATATAATATATAATATATAATATA